ATAAAAGCTTAGCCAGGCATGGTGATGCACACCTGTAGCCCCATATACATATACTTGGGAGGCTAGGCAGGAGAATCGCTTGGGGTGGTGGAGGTTGCAGTGAGCCGAGATAACATGCCACTGCACTCACTCCAGCCTAGGTGACAGAGTGAGACTGTTTCAGAAAAAAATAAAAATAAAAAGAATTCTAAATGTCCCATTGAACTGAAAGTTTATTAGTCACAACACAAATTTATTTTAAAATTTCAAATATCATCAAAGGAAGGCATATGATTTTTATTTTTAACTAAAAGGATCATGAATTTTAAGTTTGAAAAGATACTGTGATAAAAGATGATTTTAAAAATGTATGTATTTTGAACCTTTCGTTTTGCAGAGGAGGAGACTAATGCCAAAGACACAGAGTTAAGGTACTGGCTAATGACATTCATTGGCCTTAGTCTCAGAGAATTAGGAAGTACCAAGGAACCCAGGCCTGATTTCCAACTCTCATTAGAAGCAGGGCCAGTCCAGGAGGCCTGTGTTTATCTCTGTAGCAGTTCACTACTTTCTCACTTCTTGCTGGTCCTAGATCTTCTCTGCTGAGTCTTCTGGTCATCTGCCATGTCACCCGAAGCTGGGAGAAGAGGTGTTGTCAAAGTGTGGGGTGTGTTTTTCCCTGAGGAGTAACTTTGAACAGTGCGCATTGTTTTTATCTTAAAATGAAAATTTAAACATAAGCTTTTAAATGGGACAGGAGTGTTCTGATAACTTGCTGGATTTGTCCTCTAAGAAATTTTGCCCAAAAAGGGGATGGGGAATGGAGAGTTCACCACTTGGGCAGAAAAAGTGTGCATAGGCAAGAATGACTTCAGGAGTAGAAGGATATTGGTACCTGTCAGACCCTTAGAGGTAGAACCTTTTGTCAGAACTGTTTGAAATGAGAGCCTATCAGAGTCACCCTGGAGCATTGCCTCCCTAGTGGGAGGGAATCCTGGGTGGACAAAGAGAGTTTCTGCTGTGTCTGCCACACTCCACACCTCCCCTGCAGCAGCAGGATATATGCCAGGGCAGCAAACGGGCCCATGAGGTCCATAGGACCTATGCCAAGAGCCATTTCCACCCAACACCCTTGGATTGTCTCTCTCTGGGAGGGATTGCCAGAGAAGTTGGGGAATCTGGATCTTTGAAAACCACAGAGCAATTAAAAATTACAATTTTAGAGACACATTTAAAACAATGAAGCACCAACTGTTTTTGTTTAGAGCCCCTCTTTGCAAATATGGAGAAAACATATAGGGACACACACATTCTTCTGTCTTTTTTCACAAGATGATTCATTTCTCCTAAATTGAGAGATGAGAAAGACTGGGTAGAAGGAGGTTGTGGATTGACATGGAAGATAAAAGTTTTTTTTTTAATTCAGAAAAATAGTTCATGTGTTTTCATACACACTTACATATGTGCACATACACATACACACATCCAATTCCACTGAATGTCCCAGTTTCCCCTGACCCTTCCTTTTCCCCTTCCCTCTGGCTCCTTAGCCTCCTGTCCCAGAACAACCCCACCAGGACTGCAGCGCCTTCTCTGAAAAGGGCATAGCTATCTTCTAGACTGTAATCATGAGTCCAAAGGTCTGGTCAAAGATTGGGGGAGCATTCAGACCTTGACCCACAGACCTGCCAGTGTTCCCGGACATTTGCTCACGCATACCCACTCACAATCTTACACGTACCCTCACTCCCCAACAGAGAGAAGAACCATGAGGAAGGAGGAGGCAGCTTTTGCCATCACTAAGGTCTTCTCATTCCCACTGGTGAGACCCCTTCTTGAACACACCCAGGTCCCCATATTGTTGAGGCTGTTAATTCCTACAGAAAAGGCCAGAGGTCAGCTCAGTTCTGTTCCATTCTAAGGCCTTTCCACGCAGAGGCGAAGTCTAGGCCCTCACTGCCCTTCTCCGGAACACTTCTTCCAAGTTCAAAATCCTTAAGGAGCAAGAAAGAAGGCAGGTGGCTGTGTATGTGTTCCAGAGGAGAGAGGCAAGGAGGAGTTGCTGTGGAATGGGTTACGTGACAATTTCATTAGCTTAACAATGCAAGGGTGTGGACACTATCTGTGTAGACCAGAGAGAATGGCTTCAGGTGCTGCTCAGGATTCTTTCCTGGAAGAGGTCACAGCCTTGGTGAGAAGGTGATAACAGCTTACCTACAGCCCTGAAATCAGGCTCTACCTTAAGAATCAAGCATAAAACAAAAGTTCCCTCCTTCCTTTTACAAAAGAAAAGGCTGCTTCCCGGTGAGCAAACCAGGAGTGAATGGGGCAGGAAGGGCATCCTGCAGAGACCATGCCTCTCACTTCTGATGGTCAGTGACCCAGGAGGACCCAGAGAGCCTTATCCTCAGGCTCCTAGGCCTTGGTTCCCCACTCCTCCAATATTTCCAGGCCTGCTGAGTTAGGGCTCAGCTGCCTCCATCTTCCCTCCGCTGGAAACAGAAGCTCCCAGCGAATGTTTCTAACTCCTGAGTCCACTCAGCCATGTCCCCCTTGCAAAATCCTCCCCTTCCCGCACCCCCCTGCACCCAGCCAGCCAATCCGTGGCCTTCGAGCCTCACCAGACCCATCTCCCAGGGCCTCAGCGGGATAAAACCGGTCGGCGATGCCGGGTGGATGGGAACAAACTTCAGAAGGAGGAGAGACACGGGGCCCAGGGCACCCCCGCGGGAGCACCCAGGCAGTGAGGGCCTGCAACCGGCCGGCCAGGTAGGTCGCCCAGGGATCAGCTGAAAGCTGGCTGGCAGGGAGGACGGGGAGATGCAAGAAAGGAGAGGATCCCAGGAAGCCTGGCAGTCTTTTCCCTCCCAAGTTAAACGGGATAAGACTGGGACAGCAGAGGGAGTGGGCACGCAGGCTGGAGTCTGGATCTTCTTCAGCGCGCCCCCAATCCTTGATCATCCTGGGAAGCCCTTTAGCTAGGCCAGGCTGAGGTTGGCCCTACTTCGCCTAAAAATCCTTCTACTCTTGGCAGGCGACGCAAATGTAAAGGACAAGGCCTGGGGAGGGGGCCTGAGGATGCAGGCATCGAATCTCATTGCATCTCATACCCCTCTCCTGGGTTTGTGCAGGGCAGCGGCAGGCGCGGCCCGGATCTGTGTGAGTAAGCCCCGAGCCCTCGGCGGGCTGCGAGTGACTACCCGGCGATGCCTCACAACTCCATCAGATCTGGTAAGAACGCTGCATGGTCAGGACCCCCGAACCCCCGCGCCGCTGAGCGTCAGTGCATGCGCTCCGGTCGTTGGATCTTGGGAGCATATGCACGGGATTCGCGGGACCCACCCGCATGGGGACCAGCTGGGGGTGCCTGGCGCCTGGCTCTAGGCTGGAGCCGCCTCGCTGTTCTCGGGCACTGGGGTTCCCTTCGGCCAGCTGAGCCACCCTCTCCAGGTCTTGGTTTCGAGGGACCACAGGAAATGAGGGGCTCCCTGTGGAGTTGGAGAGGGTTTCCTTGGAGCTCCATTCCCAGTCTTGAATGGCGCGTTAGGGTGGACATTCTTCGTGTTCTGTCCCTGGGATGCACCGGTGCGGTGCTGGACTTGCAGTTTCCCTGTCCCCGACCTCTAAGCCCCCTCTACCTCGGGTGCCCGCAGTCTTTGCCAGTGACTCCCCTGGCTGGACTGTGAGCTCCTGGCATCTTTCAAGCCAACGGGAATAGAGCCGGTGGTCAGGGGACCGGGAGCCCGCCGCACACTCAGGTGTTTTCTGAATCCTCCTGGCCCAGCACCGGGCAGGCGGGGAGCCGCGCGCGCAAGGCGTCTGGCTGGTGAGGACTAAGCTGCTCGCAGAGTCAAAACCCCCTCCCCACCTGAGCCCGGGAGCAGGGCCTTCAAAAACACTCGAGTTCCCAGGCCGCGATGCCTGCTTTCCCCCTTCCCAGCCAGGGCTGGGTAGGGTCTTTGCTGGAAAGGAGCCCCAGGGTCGGGACTGGTGGGTGCAGCAGTCCTGCGCTCAGCGAGTGCGGACAGCGGCTGAGGCGCAGCGCGGCCCGCGGTGATGGATGGAGCCTGGCCGGCCGCAGAGAAGGCGATTTATGGGGCCAGGGCGCATCGCTATCGATTTGGGCCGGCGAAGTGAGAGGAAATCAATATTTCAGAATGAATTCTCCGCGAATATGAAGTCCCGCCCGGCAAATGGGACATTTGTTATAATAAGGAGGGTCGGATCCGGCGCGGAGAGCGGCTGAGATCTCTATTTAGCCGAGCGCACCGCGCGTTCGGGCTTTGCCGGGCAGTCTCGAGTCCCCGGGCGGGGCCGACGTTCAACTAGGAGGGCAGCGGGAACCCCTTGGGGCGTCGGAAGGTTTCTCACCCGGGTTCGCTCTAGAGCTGCAGACAAAGTCAGCAGGATGCTCCCCCCCCCCCGACCCGGTTCCCCTCAGAGAGCTGGGCTAGAACCGTCCGGCTTCTCCCAGAAGGCGCGGGGACCCTTCAGGGGCCTCAGGGTAGAGACCTTGTAGCCCTTCCCTGGCGCGGCGGGGTTGGCGAGCCCTGGGATCGAGCAGAGCTGCCTGGCACCTCTTTAGGGTCGGTGTCCTGGAACCACTAGCTCTCCTCGGCCACTTTCTAAGGTCTGGACCAGGTTTTAGCCCCTTAATCTTTAGCCAAACAGAGGTACGATACCGGACAACGCCAGGGCCATCCCCGAGGCCGACTACACAGTGCCCCCGGTGCCGGATCCCATTGCCAGGCTGGTCCGGGGCACTTCCGCCTGGCTCTGGAGGTCCATCTTTTCTCCTGACCTTCCCCTGACCCTTCCGGCTATCGCAGGAGGAGTGGGTGCTCTCGGAACTCGAATGTGCTGGGTTGGACTGGACACTTACTCCATGTCGTTGCCCAAGAAATAAGATGTCCGCGTCCCTCAGATCAGCTTATTTTTTCCCCCCGGCTACTTATTTTCATTCTAGAAGCACTCATTAGAATAAATGGAAATCAAGTAGGGACAGAAAAAAAAAGGCACAATTTATTTTTACTGTAGTTTTAATCAATATCAGTCCCAGATTATGAGATGAGCGCTTTCCCATTAGCTTGGATGCAAATCGCGCCTGGGTTTGGGGAGGGAGTACTCTGCCCCTGGACCTGCCAGGTAATTTTTCCCCGTTTTTTCTTTTCAGAAGACAGAGGGCCTTCTCCCACCCAATTTCCAAAACAAATAAACAAATAAAGCGGCGAGGGAGAGAGGATAAGACTTTCCTCTTTACTTTAATTTAAATGCTAATAAAACTAGAAAATAGCCTATAACAGCACAGACTGTTGAAGGCACTCCCCTGTTTCTTTTTCTGAACGCTCCCTCGGCAAAACTCTGGGAGAGGCCCTCTGTCTTTCCGATCCGTTTACCTGATACTGTTGTCTATAATTGAAGCTAAATTCATAAGCGGACCTCTCTTGTTTTTACAAGTCCATTTTCTCTTAGGTTTTAGCAGCTTCCCCCATTTACCCAGGCACCTCCATTTCTGAGTTCGGCAGTGCTTAGGGAGCTCCCTTTTAAGTTTTCTTTGACTAGAATCTGGGAGGCAAGCAACCACACAGCTTTTCGCGGGAACGGGGCCGAGCGCACCCTTCCCAATAACCCAAGACGCTCAAGAAAAGTTTCCTGCGCGGCCTCCGCCGCCCAGCCTTCCAGGGCTCACGCTCCCCTCGTCTTTGGCTGATCTTGTCTTGCAGAGCCTTAACATTGTCTTTCCTAAAGCTTTATTCTGAAGGAATGTTTAGCGTGAATCATTCTAACATGCGCAGGTCAACGATGGGCTGAACGTTCCTTAAAATCGCTATTTTTGTTGTATCTGGGACGAAATTCTCTAAAGCAAAAACATTTTTTTTAATTCAAAGATGCGGGAGAAATGATAAATGTTACACATATATATTAAAGTGAAAACAATACTGTACCAACGAGGAAGAGAGTTTTGTAAAAGCAAGCAGGCTGTCATTAAAAGTTACCTTAAATAACTTGTCGCAGCCCACTCCCCCGGTACTGAAAATAGTTCATTCAAGTGGTAAAATAAATGTCTCTAACTTCTCTGATCTGAGAGCTAAAGCCCCATTCTTTCCTCTTGGTTTTAGAATTGAGAAAAGGGGAATAAATGCATTTGGAAAGGATCTGTTTTCTTCCCAGTTTTCCTGCCTGGGTGGAAAATAATATTTCAGAGAAGGGAAGCAGCTTTGAGGAACATAAAGAGGTATTGGGGTTCATCAATTCATCTTTGTTTCAAGATGGTCTATCCTCCCCACCCTCCTCAATGTAAGTTAATTAGGAGATAATTTAGCTACCTTGTGAATTAGTTTTAAGATAAGTATCTTTTTAAGCTTTGTCACTTTAATTGCCCCACTGATTGATAAGAAGTAATTATTTCTAATTGACACTTTTTTGATGTCTATTGGAAGCATTTATTTGGAACTTTTTGGGGATGGAAGGAAAGTTAATTAATTTTATCAGCCTACCCCCAAAAAGACTCTGCCTAATTTTCTTGAAGAAGACAAAGGAAGTGAAGGAAACAAAATAAAAAAATTAATCTCATGGAATTTTAATTATTAAGGGACATTTTGGTTTAAATTAGTGGGCATCTACTAATATAATATGTCAAAATGTTCTATTTATGGCCTCAAATTCTTTAATTTATTGAGATGCATTTTATAGGTATTCATTTTCCTGTGGATACACTCACAGGCCCCTTATATGCTACCTTTATTTTGGAGGTATTTATTCCTCTGCTGTGTAAATAATTTTCAGTGAGAAGTAAAATCTGTCGAACTTGGTATGCCCAGAAAAAATAAAATCATTTTTGTAAAAGCCAATTGTAAGAAAGATTTAAGAATAGTCATCCTTGTTCTGTAATTATTGATGGACTTGGGTATAAAGGTGAAACTTTACTTACAGTGACATGCCTTTTCATACCTAAACCTTGGAGTAAACAGTTTAATCATTCACATCCTCCAGAACATTTTGCTGTGAGAGAGAAAAGGGTAAAAGAATAAAGAGAAAAAGAAAGACATTGAAAGGAGGCGATGGGGGTGGAGAGGAAAGAGAGGGAGAAGGTAGCTGGAGATAATGAAATGAAGCATTTATTTCAGAAATGAAGATAGCCGGTGATGGAACCTTTGCCATTCAATATAAGAAAATCAAAATCCTGCTTTCAAAACACACTTTTGTCAACACCGAATCTCTACCACAGTCTCTAAGCAACTCCTAACCACCATGGGACACCCCCACTTTTCTACACGTACAAAAGAGGCAGAATTTTAGGGAGCTGGCTGATTAGGATTTTGGATATCTGATTGTCAAAGTCTTTATTTGGGGTCCATGAAAAGGAAGCAAGAAAACGCACATTGTGCTCTGGGTTTTAGAAAGAGATTTCGAGTGTTGTTTGTGTTCATTTTATTATTAAAGCCCCGGTGATCTTCATCTCTATTTTGTATGCACAATCTTTTAATAGATCGACTTGCGACTTACTGATATAGGAAAGCATTCCCACATTAATCCAAAGTAGACACACATGCGCACACACACGCATGCCTGGGACAAGAAAAAACAATCACACAAGACGCGTTCCTGTCAGGTTAATTTCAGCCAGTGCCTTTTTCAATCATTTATGTATAAAATCTTGCCTGCTTTTAATGATGTTTCTCCCAGATTATGTGGAGCTGCAAGAATGAGGAAATATTTTAAATGAAAAAGAAATTTAAGACGTACAAACATCAGATAATATCACATACCAACCTCACTATTAGTGAAATTGAAAGAATATATAAATAATGCAAAAAAAAAATCAGCAAGGGAGAGTTTAGTAATGGAAAATTCCCCTGCAATTAAATGAAACAGTAATTTAGTGAAGATATGCCTGAATGAATTAGCATTTATTAATTGGTTCTCATAAAAACAATTTGTGTGTGTGACTTGGGGAGGGGGATGTTTAAAGTATGTATTATCCACAGATAAAGTTCCTCAAATATTCATATTAAATTGTGTCGTTACCACATTCTATTTTGTGAAAAATTCCAAGTCTCTCACTGTCAAGTTTCACCTGTACACAGAGAGCTTGAATGCAAAGGAAAGGAGTCCCTTCTAGATCAGAAAGAATGAAGCTCGTTCCTGCTTCTCTTGGTACATTTCCAAATGTGAAACGAATGAGGGACACACTGGCAAAGTCTGCTATGCTTAGGAACATCCAAACCAGACCCCAGGAAGACTCTCTGAGGACCCGCCTCCTCTGGGGCACAACTAGCTGAAGCAGAGGAGGCTGCTTTGTGGTTCTGGTCCCCCAGCCTGCTCCAGCATCCTTGCCAGCTCAGGCAGGAACTGCAGTTTGTAATCTCAGTGAGGAGCTTGCTAGGGTTGGCTGGTGCATGGATGTGTTTACTTTCTCTCGCCACAGTTGGTCTGTCTTCACTTCTAAGCATTTTAAAGCTGCTCTATTTATCAGTCCAAGAAGTGCTGAGTTCTCAGCTGAGCTGAGAAGCTTTGAGCTCTTTGATTTCTGAGTATGCAAAAAGCCGAAAGATAAAAGAAACCTTAAGAAAAAAAAAATGTTTTAAAAAGTGGGGGTAGGGGAATGAAGGAGCCCACCTTCAAAACTGCAGGTTAGTTTTGCTTTTGTTTTACTTGAAACTTGGGGAAAACTGGGGCACCATCCCCCATTGGGTTCTCATTCACTTCAGAGATAGAGTTTAGGATTGAAAACATCCTCTAAGAAAGGAGAATGTGCCCTCACATTATCTCCTCTTAGAGAGTGTAGAGTTCTTTGCAGGAGAGATTCTTTCTGGATGCAGACCGGAACACCTTAGCCCAAGTTCTTCTGAGGAGGGAGCTAATAGACATTCTGCCTAGGAAATGCAGGCAATGACTACTTCCAACAGGGGTTCTAGACATTCCTTTTGCGGAGAAGGAGTACAGAGAATACAGGAGTCTCCTGGCTCCTGAGAACTTCACTCTCCAAGACCAATCCCAGTTCATCCAGTCTGTGGTGGGTGACCCTGGGACGGATGAAGTCTCTGCAGTGAGGCGGAGTAGGAAAAGGCATCCATTCTTCTTTGTTTATCTACAGTCATGACACTTTTAAGTAGATCTTGAGGGTTTATAACTATTTTCCTTAGGTCCAGGGTTAGGGCTGACAAGCCCATTTGGGTTGCTGAAAGCCCCTCCAGACCCCTCCCTTGGCCAAATAGAAATACAATGAGCAAATTTCTCTTATATAGGCTACTGGCCAGAAAAATCTTCATGGGAAGGCATCTGTCTTAAACCTATAATTCATGTCACTGAGTCTGGGCTTTCCCTTGCTTGGCTGGGGTTCCTTCCCCAGGAATGGGTCTGGGTAGAAACCAGCATCTCTACTGAGGCATGTCCAAGATCAAGGGGAGAAAAGTCCAACAGTTCCCCAAGGATACTTGGGTTCTGTTTCTGTTTCTTTTTGTGGCTCCTCCATAGTCCTGAATGCCGTATAAGACGTAGACAATCCCTCTGGTTCAGCTCAGCCAGCCTCATAGCTCTTCCTGCTCTGCCAATGCCACATTTACATCCAAAGAAAGAGAATGTCTGTGTCTGCACAAGAGCTGCGGACACCCGGCACATACTGAGCTCTCAATGAATGGAAGCTGTGATTCTCCTCTCTGAGGACTGCCACAGATGTGGCATGGTGCTGAGAGCAGGAGTATTCATTATCTCATTTAATTCTCACGACTCTGCCAGGCAGGTATTGCTATTGACATTTTTATAGAAGAGAGGGGAAGAAACTGATGTTAAACAGGATGATATGATTCTAATTCCCCTTTCCACTGCTCCCTACCCCAACCACCCAAAGTCCAGCTCATCAGAACTCTGCTACTAGATGATCAATACTTGCAATCCTAGTGGAAACTCCCATCAGAACCCTTGATAAGAAGGCTCAAGTGCCTGTGCTGGCAGTGACAGCCAGGGCCTTCAGTCAATCAGCTTGCTTTCCTCATCAGTGTTCCCCACTCTCCAGCTTAATTAAAATACTCCCCTTTTGAGTACGGTTCTCAGTCTTCCTGTCAGTGAAATGGAGAAGTGGTTCATCTGGATGGCCCTCCTAGAAGTAGCTATGAGAAGGAAGGAGATGATCAGCCACTTGGAAAGGCAGAGGGAAGGTGACCTTACTTTCGCACATCCCCCGCAAGGCTGCTGTGTCTCCATCTGCCCCGGAAAAAAGCAGCTATCCTCAGGCACCCCAAGTTGAAGGCCCCTGGGGAACTGATTTCCCTAGTTTGGCATCTCCAACACACACTCAGCATCCTTGCCTAGGTTCATCCTAGATGTGACAGAAATGGCTTCCAAGTTGCTATGGAGGCTTCCTCACGCTGTTAGGGGCCAGCACTGGGGATCCCATCCATGGACAACATAGGTAGGAGTGGTGGGCTCTAAAGGTGCCAGTTGTTATGTCCCCAAGCTTAGGTTCATACCCTTTGCTGCTTCCTCTGGATCCCTCTCATTCAGGGGCTTAAGAGCAAGGCAACTCTCTTTTGGAGTCTCTGCAGAGGTTCAGTTTTATAACAGCTTGAAAGAAAGGGCTTTTATTTTAGTATTTTTACTTTTTCATGTAGAAAGTAGCTGTTTAGCTTCTGGGCTTTCAGATGAAAACCTGTTTTTGATTTAAGCAGAGGGAGAGACTGATAAAGAAAACAATATTTCATTCCTACCTACTTTTAACTTTTTTTCCTTCTGTCTTCAGCCACAGCACTCATGGGCTTTGCCTTTTTAATTTGTTTTCTTAAATGGCCTTGGAGTGACCTGGGTAGTTAGTGCTAATTAGTCCACTAGGACATATTGTCACTGTCAGGGCAGCACAGCAGGAAGGTCCAGGAGCTGGCTGGGTGACACACCTAAAACAGAAATGGCTTAATCTGCTGTCGTCTGTGTGTACTACGATGTTTGCACACACCCAGGCCCTCTGCGTGTGGTGCAGTTTTGATGCTTTGGCGTCTCTAGGAGGACAGTAGAACTATTATTCTTGGGATAAACTCAGGGGCCGTGAGGTGTTGAGAGGGTAAGAAACTTTCAAAATCACTGTGAAGCCAGGGCAAAAGCCCCTGCCCTGGGCCTCCTTTGCTGTTTTTGTGTGACCCTTAGTCAGGTCAGTTGTCTCTCTGGGCTTGTCTCCCTCTTCTTTATAAAACATGGGGATGCTGCAGGGATTCTTGGGAGTAATGTGAGTAAAGCCTGTTTGCCTGGCACATAGCTGCCACTCAAGACATTTTTTTCGTGCTCTGTGTAGTAGTCACCAGGGAGCAGAGTCTCCAGGACACATTCCCAAAGTCTCATTGTCTTAGTATTTCCTGTGAAACATCCACCAATAACATGAAACCCAGTACTCTGTTTCATTTAAAAATTAAGACATACTTTTTAATATTTTACCTGGACAAAATAATAGATCTACCACCTAGGAGTACTGGAATTAAATGAAGGGACACATGGAAAGTGCTGGCTATGACCTCTGCGGCTGTTATCTGCTATTACCACAGCCCAAAATGGGAAAGGAAGACTTAGGTTTGCCTTAGCAGAAAACCCACTTGTAGGGAAAACACTCAGCTTTTGATAGAATCAGCCATCTGTGGACTGTGTGTTAAAATCCAGAACATTCTAAGGGTTTAATAGAATTGGTCTTTGAGCAAAAATGAGCTCAAATGGGTTTGCAGTTATGCTGTCTGTGCAGCTAAGACAGGAGCAGGAAGACTTGTCTGAGTACTTGCTTGTAATTTACATTGAACCATACATTTATTTTTTTAAAAATTAAATCCACGAATCCTCTGCCTTCCCTCTTCTCTCTCCCTCCCTCCTCACCTACCTCTGTCTCACAATTTTCTACTTTGGGTAATAATAATCCAGCTTTGGCCTGATAGCAAACCCTGGTTGACATTTAAAAGTCTCTGTGATTAGCTGAGCACCAAATCTGACTTAAGCTCTGCTTTGCTCCTTTGCTCCAACACTGAGCAAGGTAAAAGGCATCTCTGCCAAGCAGGGAGCTGAAGTCTTGTTCTTCCCTTTCAAGAAGGCAGTTCCACAGATGCAGGCGGGGGAGTGCTCAGACAAAACAACTCAGTGGTGGGTAAAGGACTGAACACTAACAACCCGGTCAGCAGGAGCACCAAAGGTCATTTATCTTGAACAGCCACCCAAGTTCAACTATGTTGTTGCTGTTGACAGTTAAACCCCATCTGGCTTTCTCAAGTCTGGTGCCTCATTGTTCCAGAGCTGGCAGGCTCCATGACAGTCTACACTGGAGCTCCATCTCAGAGCTGCTGGACAGTTTGTGGCAAAATGTGGCAGGGCTGTAGGTACAAGTGCCATGATGACATGCCTGCTTCTGCCAAATGAAAGTGCTTGCTGGATACTTCCAACACCTAGGCTCCATGCCTTCATAGATATGCAAACTTTCCCCTCTCTAGGCCTTACAACTTTTTGACGGTATGACAAGACCTGGGTTCTTTGAGCCTTGAGGGGGTTTTCCTCATTGGTAAAATGTGGTGACAAATCTCATCTGTGAGCCTCCTCCAGCCTTGGATAACTCTGGATCTAGGTAGACCAGCATAGTGAAAGTCTATGAAGCTTCTGAGATGTGTGAAGCATACATTCTCCCAGGCACTCCTGGGGACCTTCCTGGGCCTTCCATATTACCTGGGGACATGGCAGTACCCCATACCAGGAAAGTCCCCATGTCCCATGTCCCACCCTCCCCTGCTGGCCATAAGCCTGTCTGGACAGGTGCCCTGCACTGTGACAGGCCTGCCTGGGCCTCAGGGCTCCCCCTTTTGCAGGTGGCACCTGCTCTAAAGAGTCCTGCTGACAATGATGCAGCTGCTGTCCTGAGACTCTCCTTTCCTCAAGGCCTGGTTGGGGCCCATGCCATGTCTGCAAAGCACTTGGTCATGTGCTTCCCACATTCTATCTGTCTTCACCCAGTCCAGCTTCAAAGCCACCTCTCTCTGAAGCTGTCTGTGATTCCTCTTCCTCCTCCCCACCTCCCCAAGTTCTCCTAGCACTCTGTTTGTATGGCATGCCTCACAGTTCACTTTTTAGAGGAGCATTGATCTCTGTAGCTCTCAGCTTCTAGACTTGAGCTGCTTGAGTGACTGGGAGAATGTATTCCTCACACATCTCAGAAGGCTCATAGGCTTTCACTATGCTGGTTTACCTAGATCCAGAGTTGTTCAAGGCTGGAGGGGGGTTCACAGATGAGATTCTGTCACCACATTTTACCAATGAGGAAAGTGGAATCCAGGGAGGTATGTCCTGACCCTGGTCCCACAGCCCTTGCGGCAGAGCAGAGACTCCATCTCATCACCAAGACTCTTTCCATGACCCTGTGGTGACTTTCAGGGCATGCTGAGGTTAGAGTGAGGGCTGATCCAACCCAGGGAGCCTTTGCTGTAGCCTATGATGCATACACAGGACCCAGGGGAATGAAGGGGCCTCCTTCACCAGCTGACAGGAACTGGGAAGCCCAGTAAGAGCTGCTGAGACACACAACCACACACCCATACACACTCACCTGCATGCAAACACATACACAGCATATGCACAACACTCACGTCCAAACATACAGACAATCAGGTGGGTTAGGATGAAGCAATAAGGCACCCAGGGTGCAAATTTCAAGGAGGCTCTCCCTCTGGTGCTCATGAAAGGGCAGGGTTGGCCCTGAGAGCAAAAGCCTCTTTGGATCTTGTAGCCTGGACACCACCTGGCTGTCTTCATTCTAGTCCCCTGTATCCATATGACATACACTCATACCCAGTTACGCACACAGACCACAGTACTCACAACATACACATACACACATGCATACAATACTTACCATCTCATACACATAAACATACTAAAGGTAAGCCTTTAAACTGTACAAGTATACACAGAAGACTATCCTATTAAAAAAGACCAGAGAAGGCCCTGCTCTCAGAGACCCTAAGAAATGCAGCCGTGAAGTTATAGGTGTGACAGATGAGTCCCAGTTGTACTCACAATTGCTAGGAAGGAAGTCATAATCAATGCAGTAGGGAAAGTGGGGCCCAAGTTATCCAGGGAATCTGCTCTGTGCTGTGCATCTATTTAGGCATGAGGTTACTGACCTGTGACCTCCCTGTTCTTGCAACTTGTGGTTTAAGGTCTGAGTAGAGGAATACCAGTGTCCAACCATGAGTTCCTCCTGGCCCCTTACCCCTCACTGAAGTTATGGGTTATGGGTAGTTATGGTGCCCATAGACCCAAAGAAAACTTTGGGTCTGGCATTCTTGTTTTCACATTCGATCCGGGGGCAGCCAGTCATCTGCTTGCATCAGCCCCTAGCACCACTAGGTCTCTGGGGTTCACAGTGGCTCTTCCCAGCAGAGCTACCAAGTGGGCAGCAGCAGTAGCAGCAGGACTTGTCCACTCCAGACCTGGCCTCAAGGTCCCCCAAGAATAAGGCACTGAAGGCAGGTAGCTGCCAGCTGGCATGAGCGGGCCTCTCTGCTCAGCTCAGAAGGATAATCTCTCTGACATTCTGTCCTTGCTCAGAATTCCTGGGCAACTCTGCGCCTGAGAACCCTTCAGCCCCAGGCAGTTCAGGCATGCTCTGTCTACTACACTCTAAAGGAGAAGTGTGAACACAAAACATAGTCACATGCACAACACCGAGCTTGTTTCAGCACCCACGTGAACTGTATTAGTCACTATTATACACAATATGGCATCACCATGCATATTTTGTACATTTTATCAACCAATATTTATATAACTTTCATAAATCAGTGATTCTCAAAGTGTTTCCCCAGAGGGTGAGCAGAGGTGCTCGTCGATATAACTAAACAACTGGTAGGAAAAGGTACACTTGTACTTATCTTCAAATTTAAGATGTACATTTTTTCTGTTCAATGGCCACTACCTCATTTTTTTTTAGGATCTAGGATCTGATTTAGCAACACATTATAATCTTCAAGAAGTTGAACTCACTGATTTGTGGCATTCTTTGCAGCACACCGTGACCTTCTCGGTGCCCCATGTGCTGGCAAGTGTCAGAATAGCTGGTGTCCAGCCGATGTGAGGCTGGACTTGCCTGATCGGCACGTAGTGGCTCTAGCTCCCACTCTGTGAAATGATGAGTGCCTCCATCCATCAGAAGGATCCCCAGCATGGAGAATTTACACTGTCTTCCTTCAAAGAAAGGAGCCAAGTCCTGGGCCCTCCTCATACCTTGACTTTCCCAACAAAACACCCTTCTTTCCTGGCACCAGTATAGCACATGTGTGTTGGTCATTTAAGGGCCCAGGTGCTTTGTGGCAGAGTAAAGGCAGACGCACAGAAAAGGTGGTCTCTTCTTACTCAGCATCCCAGGAGCACACCTGGGACATGGTGCCCTTCTTGAGATTTCCTTTAAAGACCTTGTCACCCCTGAGGTTTTCATCCCAGCTACCCATAGAAATCATTATTTCTTTTGTCCTGCTCTCAGCTACATAGATTTCTTGGTCCACCATGGGGAGGACTTCTATTCCCAGCCACCCACTATCCTATGGTGAACCTCTCTTCTCTCCTCCTGGCCCATTGCTCTCTCAAGTGTGTGCTCAGTGTGCGCCCTGTGGCCAGATCATCCTGGATTTTGGTCCAGCTCCTAAAAACTTCTGTTGTTGGCAGTGCCCTTCACTCTCCCGCTCTGACTCCCCAGCACTCGGCGGGGCTTTGCTGCCTCTGTGCCTGATATGCTCCATGCAAATTTCTCACCCTAACCACTGGCATGCTCAGTTACCTTCAGGTTTTATGATGTGCCCTCACCCTATCATGCATCCCCTGGCCACACAAGCCTCAAGATCTAACTCCAAATTATTTCAAAGAGCATTATTACTCAACTATTCAATTTAGTTAAGTCAGTGTCTACTGAGCACCTCAACGTGGCAGGCAGGGAGTTAGGCTTTGGGGTTATGGAACTCAGGAGACCATACCTCTGCCTTCGTGTTGACATTCTAGAGAGAGGAAAGCAAACTGAACTTACACCACAATCACAGAGAGAAAGCAAAGGCTTCAGTCCAGATAGACACAAAATGCTGAGCAAGTGGGCGAGGGAGGCAGGCTGAGCTGTGACCGGGTCAGGGTGGGATTCCATAAGGTGGCTCAGAGGAGTAACCAGCCCCAACAGAGATGAGGAGTCCCAGGAGCCTGTGCAGATTCCAGGCACCAGAAGTCAGCCCTGAGTGAAGGAGACAGCAATGGAAACACGCTCAGGTTCAGCCTAACTGTGTGGCTTTGACAACAGCAGCTAAGCTATGTTGTTCATTCCACTCTGCCATCAGAACATCTGAGTAAACTGTACTTGATGTATATGTTTTAGGACATTTTATTCACTTGTGCATGAAACTTCCATCCTCCCCTGGCTTGACCTCATGCTTCTGTCATTGGCAGTTTTGATATCCTTCTTGGCTCTTTTGCCACAGCCATGTACCTACCGACTCTGTTGTCTTCAGGCTTTGTGGTGCTTTCGTTAAGTGGAAAAGTCATGGCAATAATCTGTGATAGCTAGATTATTCACTTGATCAAAATGTTCTAATTTCTCTGCTCTCTTGGCTCTGTTTCAGACAAACTTAGCCTGGTGATTTTCCAAAATAATCAGATTTCTCCTTGCACTTCCTTTTAATCCAATCATTAACAAGCATTTTCAGGCAAACTGCTGATGTACAAGCTGAGAAGACTTTCTCCAACCTCCGTGGCCCTATTTCCCACTATTTCCCTATGCAAACCCATGTTCCAGGCAACTAGTCATTGTTTCCAAAATACATCATGTACATTCTCACCTCTGTGTCTCAGGCCATTCAGTGCAGCTGCCTGGAACACCCTTCCCACTCCCACACCCTTGACAAAGCCTCAGTCAAGCTCCACCTTCTTCCAGGGACCTTTTTAGACATCTTCCATCTTTAGTGACCATCCTGTCTGACTTCCCACTGCACCTGCTCTGCTCCACTCCTTGGGCACTCAGTACCTGTTCCAACAAATGTCTTTAAGCTTCTTACGGTGACATCCTGCCTCTGAGCTAGACAAGAACAAGAACGCTTTCATATCTCTATCTCCAGCACCTTACGCAAAATCCTACATGAGAACTGAGGGCTCCATGAATGTCTGGGCTGCTGGTTTTCACCTAATTCTCCAATAACATTTGTTATTGTTTACTTGGTTGACTCAACTTGGATATTTGAGTCTTGTATATGAAGTTTTTCCAACATGAAGCACACGTGATCCTTTCCCATGATATTGCTATAATTACTTTTCTATTTTCTTTATAGTAATTGGCATCTAGGGAACAGAGGAAACAAGAAATGCCATCTTTTAGCAAACCTGATGCATCCATTGAGGCCTGAGCTGCCCCACTGGGATAGCTGCCTGGTCCTAGGGGCATCTTGCAGGCACAGAAGCCTATGCTTGAAGGCCAGATAGCCAGGTTGAACAGCAGTGGCCACAGGAGTAACAAACACTGTCAAGCCTGGGTAATTCTGAACCAACAAGCGACCTTCCTGGTGGATGCTTGGTGTCGACTTGGCAGGGCGATTGGTCAGATTTAGGGTAAGAGCATCTGTGAGGATAAAAGATTACAAGATTCCTGTAATTCCTTCAGACTGGGAATAAAACTCCAAACAATATCTAGCACATAGCAGACGTATACGAGGTGCTTCACAAATATTCGTTATGTGGATCTTTCTTTTCTTCTTTTTTCCTCTCCTTCTTTATTTCCTTTCTTTTTTTCTCCTTTCTTGGCTTTAAAGAAGTGTTTCTCAAGTCTCTGTCAGAACCTCCTGGGATTTTGTTGGCAAATGTGGTGCCCTGGAATCTGTATCCTTCACAAGCTCCCAGGGATTCTTTTGTGATCAGCATTTAAGAAACACTGATCAGCCAGGCATGGTGGCTCACACCTGTAATCCCAGCACTTTGGGAGGCCAAGGCTGGTGGATCATGAGGTCAAGCGATGGAGACCATCCTGGCCAAATGGTGAAACTCTGTCTCAACTAAAAATATAAAAATTAGCTGGGCATGGTAGCACATGCCTATAGTCCCATCTAGTTGGGAGGCTGAGGCAGGAGAATCGCTTGAACCCTGGAGTCGGAAGTTGCAGTGAGCCAAGATTTCACCATTGCACTCCAGTCTGGAGACAGAGCGAGACTCTGTCAAAAAGGAAGGAAGGAAGGCAGGAAGGCAGGAAGGCAGGAAGAAAGGAAGGAAGGAAGGAAGGAAGGAAGGAAGGAAGGAAGGAAGGAAGGAAGGAAGGAAGGAAGGAAACACTGATGTACAACCCACCCGTGGTCTTTCCCATGTGGAGTCCCTCATGCCTGCCTGCTGGGAGCACAGTCCTTCCCCTTGCACTGTGTCCCCTCCTCCAGAGATCTCCCATCCAATTGTGGGTAGAAGCAGATCAGATTTGAATGCAGTCTCAGGTCTGCCCTAACTGGCTGTGCACAGGCCATTTGGCCCTCCAAGATGGCATCTTTATGTGTAAAATGGGCAAAGCACCAGCCCCACCTATTTCACATTATTGTTGTGAAAACCCAACCCCGATGCAATCAGGACCTGACTTGTGTGTTGAACTACATGTAAGGATCACTTACCTGACAGCACTGTGGAAGGGCCCTTTGGATGTCAGGTGAGTGCATAACCAGCATTTAGACTGAACCCAGGGTCAGAAAGTTCTTGAAAGAAAGAGAAGCCTGCAAGTCCTGGTAATTGGAGGGCATGTGGGGCCTTTGCTGTGTTGATGCACCAATGTTCTTTCATAAAAAATAAATGCTGCATGATGGAAGGATCACAAATGGAGAAGATGATGACTCAGTAGCAAGGACAGTAATGTCAAGAGAAACATGTTCACCAAGAGGGTTAGATGCTAGAAAGGATTTTATTCTCTACTTGACTGACTGAACCTGCCTTATACTTAAGAGTCATTTGGAGGGAACTGGAGGGGCAGCCAGTTACCCTAGGAGAGCGGCCTCCAGGGGCTGCCCAAGCCTGCTGTGTCCAATTCATGGCTAAAGCTTTAAAGCTCTGTTGATCTGTGCAGGGGTTTGCTAGGTCTGCAGTGACAAAGTACTACAAACTGGAGGACTTAAATAATGGAAATGTATTGTCTCACAGTTCTGGAGGCCAAAAGTGTCAAATCAAGGGGTCAGAAGCGTTGTTTTCTTCTGAGGCTGGAGGAGAATCTGTTCTGTGCCTCTCTCGTAGCTCCTGGTGGTTTGCCAGAAGTCTTCGGCATTCCTTGGCTTGTGGCAAGGTAACTCTGATATTCACGTGGCTTTCTCACCTTATCTGTATCCAAATCTCCCCTTTTCATAAGGACTTGATCATAGTGAATTAGGCCCATCCTAATGACCTCACCTGAATTAGATCATCTGCAAAGACTGTTTCCAAGGTACTAGAGTGGTGGGTGGAGGCAGGGGAGGGGACTATTCAATTCATAACACCTGAGTATGGCATGTCCTTAGTCCGTTTCAGTCCCCACACAGCCCTGAACTGACCCTCAGCTCCTTTGGGTCTGAGCAACACTAGCTGCAGAAGCTCTGATTTGGGTCTGACAGAGAGAGAAGGGGAAGGTGGCATCCATCCTCCAGAGCCTTTCCTGTTGCTCCAAAACAGAAGGGGACTCCCCTCCCAAGCCAGAATCCCCAGAGAACCTCAAGTCCAGGTTCAACACTTAGAAAAGGCCACACATAGTGGCTCATGCCTGTAATCCCAGCACTTTGGAGGCTGGAAGATTGTTTGAGCCCAGGAGTTCAGGACCAGCCTGGGCATCATAGTAAGATCCCATCTCTATAAAAAATAAAAAACACTTAAGAAAACAAAAATGACAAGCAAACAAGCTGATTCAAGAACCTAAAATCAGGCGGGCACTGTGGCTCACGCTAACACTTTGGGAGGCTGAGACAGGTGGACCACCTGAGGTCAGGAGTTTGAGACCAGCCTGGCCAACATGACAAAACCCTGTCTCTACTAAAAAAATACAAAAATTAGCCAAGTGTGGTGGCAGGTGTCTATAATCCCAGCTGCTCAGGAGGCTGAGGCAGGAGAATTGCTTGAACCCAGGGGTAAAGTTTGCAGTGAGCTGAGATCGTGCCACTTCACTTCTGCCTGGGTGAAAGAGCAAAACTCTGTCTCAAAAACAAACAAACAAACAAACAAACAAACAACAACAACAACAACAAAACCTAAAATCTTTCAGGGCATGCCTGCTTCAGAACATGTTCTGCAAACCTCATCACTTTCTTCCTTCTTGGCCCCAGCCAAGAAGGCACTAAGCTCCCAAAGGGCTTAGACGGGGACTTAGGTCAGAACGCTGAGGTTCTTTCTTGGTTCCGCCACAAGGTGAGTCTGTGACATCAGATAGGTCACCTTTTCCCAGTCAAGGATCCTCTCAGAAGGGTGCCCTGCAACTCTGCCACTCTATAAACACCGTGCACATCTACCTGCATAGTCTGTGAGCCGCAGCAACCCATTTTGCCACCATGCGAGTCACCACAGTTATAGGGCCTACTGTGTGCCGCCTTCCCTCATCTCATGGCAACCCAAGCCACCTCTCATGTTTTATCACATAGGAAGGTTACTCAACGTCTCCCTCTAGAGCTCTCTCTGTATCAGCTTCTGGGGGTTTCTGGCCTCTGTTCTCTGGCCAAGGGCAGTCCCAGAGTTGTAGACATTAAGACTGGAAGGATCATCTGCTTCTGTCAGGCCAGATGAAGAAACTGAGGCACAGACTGGCATCATCACAGAGTGGGCAGAACATAGGCCTCCTAATTCTCAGCACCTCCTGTTTCCTCTCCCGAAACTGCAGCCTGCAGGCCATGTCTGTTGGCCTCTGTCCCTTCCCCTTTTCTTCTGCAGCAGCGAGGACAGCCTTTAGAGTGGATAATCTTCGCCATGGTGCCTACTGTAGGCAGGTGTGGAAACAACAGATGCATGGTCTTGTCACAGATTTTGCTCCTGTGTGCTGCTCAGAAAGGCAGTTCCTCTTCATTTGCTCTTACCTGTTATGATCCCCAGGATGGCCAGGCCCTCCTTCTGGCCCGCACCCTGAGGACTCTGCAACTCACACACACAGACACACACATACACAACACACACACACACACACAGTCTCTCTCTCTCTCTCACTTTCTCTAATCATGCCCTAATTCAGGATGAAACCCACCCTTTACAAATGCTTCCTCCATGAGCAAA